GTATTCAATGGCTAGCTTAGATTAAAAAAATGTACATGGACTATCTTACGGATGACCTTAAAGAAAAAACGCATGGTCTTATCTTTCAGTTTGGCACATGTACTCTCATTTACAAGCTGGGAAATTTTATATGTTATTCGAACATAAATTTGCCAAAAACGTAGTTTGTCTTTGAGGTTTTCTCTGTACGAGTATATTCGAACCCTAAGTAATATTTATATGCTTCGCAGCTTACCTGAATAAAGATATTTAATTTGATTTGACCCAAAAAGTTATTGAAACTCACTTTATTTTTACTTTAAATGATTTGCAAGTGTTCGTAAGCGCGCCTACTGATTATCACGTCCTGGGTTTCCAGATCTTACCAAAAATAGTTATTGGGTTTTGTGACCACCGTGACTGAAATTCGGTCTGGAGGACATTGTTTCAAGAAAATTCATTTAAAATTATTGTTTTCGTAAGGCAGTGATTGTGTAGTAGCGCTGAGGGTCGCTGGTTTGAATCCGCGCGGAAGCAGTATTTGTATAGACTACAAATAGTTGCTCCGGGTCTGGATGTGTGTTCTTGTACAATTTATGTTTGTAAACTGCCCCCAAAATATAAGAGAAAACCCTAGTGTGGGGATTACGTTTTCTAGACTATTTTTTACGGATCTCATATCGTTTAATTTTACTTACTTTTGATTCCCGGCGTTTCGGGGATCAACGGTCACGGAAGAATAAGTATAAGTAAAATTAAACGCAAAGAAATCCGTAAAAATTTCATTGATTGTGGTAGCGTTCGCGTAAATATAAGAAACCATTGGGTAAGTTTTTTATTAAATGAAGTATTTTCAACGAATTGTATCTTAGCAAAAACTTTGCTATTTTATAAAATAAATTCACATTAAATTGTTCTCAAACAGCGCGCTCTCGCATTTGATAGCGATAAAACACAAAATACGTTAGCAAAATTAGAATATGTTTGACAAGGAACGTAAATATTTGTGTATCGTAAATGTTAAAGGAAATTGAACTTTAAAGCAATTCGAGATGATTTTGACTCGATTTCTGCCAAATATCACATCTTTTGATGAATATGTTGAACATTGAGTTTGAAAATATGTTCTGTAATACAAATAATAAAATATAGCCTATAATAATTTAATAAAGGGTTAAGTTGCCAAGCCGTCTACGTAGCTTGGCAACTACCTATGAGTGTAATGGATGATTTTAATGGGAGTTATATGCACATTATTACGACATAAACAACCATTTTTATAAAGTTTGTCTGTCTGTCAAATATAATTTTCAGAATGGATGAACTAATTTAGTAAAACTTCATAGAGAATACCATGATCTGGGCTTTATCTGAAAATCTTGGAGATTTATTTTTTGTGAAATCGAAAATTGATTAAATAGTAGGTAACATGATTATCGTCAATATACATGATGGTATAAATGACATTATTAAATGACACGCAAAGCCGCTGCGGGCGGCTGGTGTTAAACGGGATAAAAATCACGACGAATGTGTTTTTTTTTGTATTTTGAAGTTAAATTAATTAGAAGTCTGCCTTTATGACTGGCATGGTTATATAATTTACAGTGTAGTGGCGGTGTGAGAATATCCACTATCCCATATCGTCCCGTGGGATTCGTAGAGAAGCGACAGAGAGAAACAAATCAGGAGATGGGCGGTTGCGTCTTCCTGATAACGACGAAAAATAAATAAATGCGGTTGCCAACCCGCTTGCCAAGCGTGGCAACTATGGCAACATCCCCCTATGAGGCAATCTAAGGGGGAGGCCTATGTTCGGCAGTGGACTTGAATGTGTCATAATGGTATGGCTATTAAATTAAATACTGTACCATTGTCATGCAGATTCAACCGTGTTATACGTTTTGCCGGTTTTTTCATTTACAGTTGCGATGATTAATCACGCCGGGCACTAGATATCACCTCGTGGCCGTTAATTACGTGATTGCGCGGGAGAATATATTATGTATATATTAGAGGAATTAAATTTACTTACCGAGAAGCTCGTACTCACAATCACTAATCGGCGTTATTTATAAATATTGTGGTGTGTAATGTTGTATGTGTTACTGTATGTCTATGATAGTGTATAGCCGAAACACTAGCGATTTTAGTATTTAAAACTAATTAAATTGATAATGCGGACAAGCACAACAAGGTGCAACAGCGGGCGCTGATTAGCGAAGACCGTCTTGCATTAATGACCCTTTTTTGAAGTTGAATTGGAGTGACAATTTTACAAACACCACCGACATCTATGATAAATATGAATAGATTAATTCGAGCACATGTTTGGCGCGACTAATGATTTCGAAATTTGTAATTGAAAATCTATTCATCAAATCAATTACAGTCTATAAAAGTCCACTACTGGACATAGCCTCATTTTAAAGCGATTAATTGCTATTTTTACATTATATTATTAAATTAATATATTGTCAAATAAAAAACCTTCACGCAGTGGAATATACTCGTGGAATATACTACGAGAATAAGTTCCTAGTGAACTCCACAACTTGAACGTTCTCCGCCAACCGTTTGGAAAGTGTTTTCGTGTAAAGTATACTTGAAGGAACAAACTTTCCATTTCAGCTTTAGGTTAGGATTAGATACGTTATACTCTTTTATATTCTGGATGTAGATTCGAATAAAGAGACGCTCAATCAATATAAGTGGCTAAATTACGATGATATTAAGTAAAGTTACTTTTCTTATTTAATTTAAGCCGAATACAATCTGTGTGTATTAAAGGCAAGAATGAATAGGCTTTTGTTATGATATTATGTGACAGCGTGTTTTACCATCTTCATTTTTTCATTCATAGGTCTTCATCACCACTTACCACTAGGTGGGATTGTGATCAATCACTGGCTTATAATAAGTAAGTAAAAAAAAACTTATTTTAAGTTCTCTCCGCAACTATATAATACACAATTATTCGATATATAACAGACAGACTTACTGACTTTAATTTTGTTTATATATAAATAATTCTCTCTGGTTTTAACGGTGGTGTTAGAGAATTCCCTACTGCATAACACGTGGGGGTCGTTAGAGACGACAGAGGGAAACTAAAAAAGGAGACGAACAGCAGCATCATCTTGATTACTCAAAAATTTACCGTCTTCTACGCGTGGCAATAATGGCGATACACCCTATAATGTAATCTATGGCAGAGGCCTATATCAAGAAGAGGAATTTATGAAACTAAGGCTGTATTAAATAAAATAATGTCTGAAATAAAAGGTTATCATTAAAAGCAGTGTCCCTTTATTTCTCTCCATAGTTTCAAGTTAATTAAAACAATAAAGTATATCAGTGTTGTAAATTTTCTTTGTGCACAGCTCCAAAGTATAACTATTTTCATTTAGGACTGTTAAGTCACACTGTAAGTGCGCTAAGTCTGATTGCAGTGAAGAGCAAAGTTCTCAAATTTAGCAATTGTAATAGCTCGAGAAGTTTTCTTGTTACGTATAGATTTCATACATTGTCACGATAATGCTTTGTGACTGAAAAAAAAAACCAATTCTGAGCTCTAAAACTGTAAGCGTAAGAGTGATGGCCACTTTCTTAGATTGAAAGATGTTCGGATATCAAACGAGCGCACGGTCCCCCTGATGAAAGCTGTAGCTCATATACATTACATATATCCTACATTAAGATTCAAAATGCAAATGCGTTGTCGCCCTTGGGAACTAAAATGGAAAGCCTCGTTTCCAATCGGTTTCTATACTCACCGTACAAAACACAGCAGCAAGAAGTTGCTATTTTACCCTGTTATTCTGTGTGAGCGTGGTCCTTCCCCGGTCGAGCCGACACATACTACAACCATACATAGTGTGCTACAAACATAATATAGCTGCAGCATGGCTCTACCACGTAAATTGTAGTATTGCATTGCATATTTAAATATTTGCATATTTTTAATCAATATTTTTTGTATCCGCTGCACTGTTTCTATCACCGTTATAATTTTATGCATGAAAGTTAAAATCAATTAAATAATAAAAAATCGTGTAGTGGCTCTGTACGTTCATTACTCTGTATCGTCTCGTGAGTGTCGCAAGAGGTGACAGAGGGAAATTAAAACGGAAGATGGGCAGCAGCGTCAAGCTAATAACAACCTTTAATAATTAAAAAAAAAACTGCGCTTGCTAACGCGCCTGCCAAGCATGGCAACAATGAAATTGTCCCTTTGAGGAAATCTATGGGGTGAGCCTTTATTCAACAGTGGACTTTTATAGGCTGTTGTAAAAAAATAGAATAAGGGTAACAAATGAACACACACCCACCTGATAATAAGTGGATGCTGTGGTCTATAGACTACATGTATCTACATGTATCCTCGGTTAAGAAGCAAGTGACAGCTGTCATTTCTGTTATTAAACATTAGCTCCGCGTTTTTACTCTTGGATAAATTGGAAATCTAATTAAAAATCTATATTTTTGATGAAAACAAGGAAATTAAACTATAATATATGTGTGGAAGTGTTATTCGCGAAAATAGTACATGTTTTACTGAGAGAAAATTGAAGTAAAAACTAAGTGTGCCGTTCAGTTTAAATGGTCTAATGAAGTGATTAATCATTGGTGCATAATTATATAAACAGTGTAATTTAACCCAAGTGAACTAAAATTAGAATAAATATTATAATCTCGCTTATATATATGTGATTTACGAGCCTAATACTATAATTTAAATCAATTGGATGAAGATTGTTGTGTGTTAAACTTTTAAACTACCCACAATTATTACTGGATTGATAGTGGATACTAGTGTCATCTATTAACTATTATAGTAATATAAACTGGTTAAAGTCGATAAAGTAGTATTGTCAAGTTTTGAATGATAACAACAATTTCATCAACTCTTTATAAGGATACGTAGCCTAATAGTAAGTTCAGAGCGGTAATATCGGGAAGTCGGAGGTTCAAATCTAACACTTTAAAAAAATTTATAGTCTTTTTTCATTTCTTATAAAATGGCATCAAGGGGTATAAAAATATTATGCAACAAATGTGATAAGGAAATACATCATAAGGAATTTCTTAAATGTTATGTATGCAAATACATTTATGAAATTGAATGCTTAAGTATAACATCCAAACGCTTCTATCTAATGTCTAAAGAACGTAAACTTAAATGGAAGTGCCAAACTTGCTTAGGACAGAATACAGATGTTACAGAAGCTAAAACCCCACAAAAACTAAGCAATGTGACAAAATCATGTTCATTAAAAAAAACTTTGCGTACTGATGAAAACGTAACACAGAGAAAGCCAAGAGTGGGTAAACACATTTCAATTGAAGATTTATCAAGTAATGAGATCTTAGAAAACTCCACATTCTTAGATGATAGTTCACAAAGTTTACCTAATTTGACAACCACGGAAAGCTCCCTGATTATGAATGATCTAAGGAATGAAATACATGCGCTTTCTACACAACTATCTAGCGCACACAACGAAATAGATTTATTAAATTTGGAAATCACAAAACATCAAAAGAAAATTACTGAACAGCAAAAGAAGCTCGATATATACAAAAAACTTTTGTCAAATGGAGAAGTATCTTCACGAAGGTCAACACCGTTGAAGTTAGATAAAATTACACCGATAAAGTTAGGTAAAATTATATCCAAATCACAGGATACGAATAGTAAAACCAAAGTTGAACAAAGTCTAAATACTCATTCGATCACAGGAAAAGACCTAAAATTGCAAGAAACTTGCATAGAAAAAAAAGAAAGATGTATACAATACATCCAATAAAACACTTATGTCCCCTTCACCTTTAGCAACATATACGGAGGCAAAACCTAATAATAAAAAGAATACGATCACAATTCTTGGGGATGAAAATACGTCGGGTTTATCTTCAGCTTTATACAAATCAAGAGAAGGAAAATGGAATAATAAGTATATGCCATTAGCTATAATAAAACCAAACGCTTCTTCATGTGATATTTTAATGCATTGCAACCAACTTGAAGATACAGTAACATTAAGTGACTATGTTATACTGTGTGTTGGGAGCCATGACAAAAATCCGTATAAATTATATTCTAATCTTAGCGTTGCTTTGTATAAACTCCGCAAAACTAATGTTTATTTATTACCTGTACTAAGTAATTTGTATTTAAATGAAAAAATGATAAATAATATGTATAAAATATTGACTCAAAATCACAAAAATTGTAGGCTTATTGACATTGATTACAAATACTGCAATATAAATTCAAAAACCGATTACATAAATTACCTGTGTTATTCTATTAACATGTCTATAGATAGTCACGAGTATGATAAACAATTTATAGTGCAGAAAAGTAGGCTAAATAACTTGGCTGAAAAAATTGTAGATAGAACTTCGTTATTAAACGAACCTAAGAAGGGAACGATACCTTATTATTTCAAAAAACAACTTATAAAAAATCAAAAAGTTCATGAAGTTATTAATTATAAGAAGGGTACCATCGAATATTTCTTCGAAAAAATGAAAATGAAGAATTTGAAGTCAACGGACGGGCCTTTGCAAACTTGTAACGTTAATATAAATAATCCTGTAGCGAACCGCTGCATAGGTTCCTCATCAAGTAATAAAAAAATGCTTTTTCGATAAAAACCAGCCTAATCAGAAACTACTTCTTTTACATCAAAATATTGCTGGAGTTTTAAATAAACAAGATTTGATTGCAGTAAGTTTAAATGAACTAGCTTATAGTAACAAATATATTCAAATCATTTGCTTCACTGAGACCTTTATTAAAGGTGGCGAAGAACCTAATCTTAAGCTGCCAGGTTTTCGGCTGGCATCATTCTACTCCAGACCAAAAGAAAGACGTGGCGGAGTATGCATAGTTGTAAGGAAAGACATAAATTATAATGATTTAATGGTAACGAAAGAATATGAAATGACAAAACATTTTGAATGTTGCGGAGTCGAAATTGGTAATTTTAATCTTATAATATTATGCATATATCGTACACCTAATTCAGACATATACATATTCTTCGAAAAATTAAATAAATTATTATTAAAATTATCAAGAGGAAATAAAAAACGAATAATCATAGCAGGAGATTTAAATATAGACACTATAAAGGTTAGTAATTACTCTAAGAAGCTTAAAGATTTATTACTAAATTTTAACTTAACTCAGCACATAACCTCCCCAACCAGAATTAATTCATGTATTGATCACTTAATAAGCAATATTACAGAAGCAAAAGGTTCTATACATTATTTGGGCCTCTCTGACCACACGGGACAAGTACTGGAGCTTCTTATGAAAATCAGTAAAACAGTAAAATACTGGTTTGAGGTAAAAAGGGACTTTGCGAAAGATAATATAGAAAAGTTTTTGGAATGTATACAATCAATATCTTTTTCTGAAATCTATACTGAACAAGACACCAACAAAGCATTTTCAAGCTTTTATAATATTTACAAACTGTTCTTCGACCTGTGTTTCCCAACCAAATTAATTAAGATTTCGTTAAGAAATAATAAAAGTTATTGGCTTACAAGAGGCATAAAAAAATCTTGCGTAGTAAAAAGAAAGCTATACTGTAAATATCTGCTTACAGAGGCAAATAAAAGTCTAAATAAATCTAGATATATAAGTTATGCTAAAATTCTTAGAAAATGTATTTTAAAGGCACAAAAAATTCAAAATGAAAAATATATATTAGCATCAAATAATAAAGGTAAAGCTATATGGAATGTCGTAAGAACAAATATAACTAATAGACTAACTAATAAAGAAATAGATACCATAAATTACAATGGAAGAACCCTGGTAGAAGGATATGACATTGCAAATGGGTTTAATAATTTTTTTATAGATTCGACAAATAAAGACAAACCAAATATGTCGAATAATTGTATGTGTAAACAATCCCGTCACTCTACTATATTCTTACGACCTACGACTCCTGATGAAGTTAATCAAATTATATTATCTCTTCGAAACACTAAGTCGGTTGGGTATGATGAGTTACCGACAAAAATATTAAAACTAAGTTCTTTAAATATAGCACCAATACTTAGTCATATCATAAACTTATCTTTTACCCAAGGAATTTATCCTGCAGATCTCAAGTATTCAGTTTTAAAACCCATCTTCAAAAAGGGCGATACTAAAGATATTAACAATTACAGACCTGTTGCAATGGTGCCCATTTTGTCAAAGGTTTTTGAAAAAGCAATACTTAAGAGACTTAATGATTTTATGGAAAAATTTAACATTATTAATAACGCACAAAATGGTTTTGTAAAAAATAAGTCCACAACACTAGCGACCTTTCAACTCGTTAAGCTTATTACAGAATGCGTCAATGACGGTGTACCGGTGGTAGCTCTTTTTTTGGATATGAGTAAAGCATTTGACTTTGTTCATCATGGCATACTTCTCAAAAAACTCGAAAGATACGGAATACGTGGGAAAGCAAATGAATGGTTTAAAAGTTACCTCGGTCAAAGACAGCAATGCACTGAAATAACAATGCTCAAAAACCTTAAAAAGGTGCACATTCGGTCGGAATATCGGTTGAACAAATATGGTGTACCACAAGGTAGTATTCTGGGTCCTATACTCTTCCTAATATATATTAATGAGCTACCAACAATAACTCCTCATAAAACGATTCTTTTCGCTGATGATGCAACAATCATTCTTAAATGCACGAATAAAAAGATTTTTGAATTTGATATCAATAGTACACTAAAACATATAATTGATTGGTTAAATTGTAACAATATGACTGTAAATATAAATAAAACTAAAATAATGCAATTTCATACAACTAGAAGTAAGCAAATTAATTTAAATATAATGTACAATGAAAAAGTGCTACAAGAAGTTGATTATTATAAATTTCTTGGTATCACTATTGACAATAATTGTAATTGGAAAAGGCATGTTCAATCGATATGTGACAAATTAAACAGATTTTTATTTGCACTTCGCCGACTTCGAGAAATAGCATCTGCCAAAGCAGCCTTAAACGCCTATCATGGCTATGTTTCATCGATATTGCAGTACGGACTTCTAATATGGGGCAACTGTTCTGAAATAGAACGCGTATTTAAAATCCAAAAAAAAAATGCATTCGAGCAATCTGTGGAGCACATTCCATGACATCGTGCAAACCATTATTTAAAGAAATAAAAGTGCTGCCACTCGCATGTATGTATATAAAACAAGCGGCGATTTTTGTCAAACAATTCCCTGAATACTTCCCAAGTAATAACTTTTTAAGAGATAGAAGTTTAAGAGAAAAATCTAATAACAGAATATACTTTCCAAAATGTAAATTGATGCTCTTCCAAAAAAATTCATATATAATGGCGATTAAAATCTTTAACTCTTTACCCGACGAGTTTAAAAATTTCCCAGTGACAAAGTTAAAAAACCAACTTCATGAATGGCTTTTACTTAATTGTTTCTATACTGTTAATGAGTATCTTGATCACAAAAATCAAAACAAATTACATATTTAAAAACTGTATCCAAAAATGCTTGAATTTTTTTGCTTGTTGGACTTTGATAGTTATAGAATAATTATTAGTTAGTTAATTTTACTGTTTTTACATATGAACATTTTGATATTTGTAAATAAGTTAAATTCATTGAAAAAAATTGTTATATATAATTAGTCAAAATTTGCACGCCTCGTCAAGGCAGAATGTATAGGAACTTTCATGATTTAATAATACTATTGTTTATCTACCTACATTCTATGCAAATAAATAATTATGAATTATGATGAATTATGAACCATAACGCAGATGCGTTGTCACCCCTGAGGACTAACATGGAATTTCTCGTTTCCAGTAAAAGAGGGTTTCCGAATCTCTATACCCACCATACGGAACACAGAAGTATTAAGCTGCTATTTTACGCTGGTATTCTGTGAGAGCCATAACATAACTGCAGTGTGGCTCTACCACGTATAAATAAGAAGATAATTAAAAAAAATATTAAGTAAAATAAATACAGACAGATTATCGTGCGGTTCGTTTGGAATAGTAAAATTGATGATAGAACTATTCTCATTGGTGCAAGCTAGTTTACAGTTGGAGGGTGCAAGTCTGATTGCAGTTGAGAACGAACTTCCTTTATTTCAGAAGCGCAAAGCTCGACAAAGTTTTTGCATTGCTTATTGATTTATCACGGTGCCTTTGAATTTGCTTTTTGAGAATTTGTTTCGTGGTACCGCATCGCTAGCAGTAAAAGATTGGAATAATTTACCAGTGTCTCTCTTTCATTGGATTACAAAGTGTTACGTCTACAAAGAAAGTCCATGTCTAAGTCAAAATCAAAATGAAATATTATTTAAAGCAATTTTTATGTCAAAATATGTCATAATATGTCATCGCTTCAACAAATCCCTACCATGGTCTCCCCACAGTAAGAAGAAGCGACAAAATATTATTTCTCAAATAGACTATTTTTCTCTTAACAGTTACAATTTAACTTGAATAAATATACAACATGTAACAAACACCTTGTGGTTCCCATTAAGCTTGTTGTCTGAATCAATATTCAAACGTATAGAATTACTTAAAAAACCATATAACTATCGGCTTATGAAAATATTTATTAGTATTTATAACAAGATTCCCCGTAATGTTGTGATTTGCTTTACGTGAATTCAAAGTGCACAAAAACAGTCTAATGCAATTAATTAATTAGATTATATAAAAAAATTAAATGTGTTGACATAGTGAGCGTTCTTTTTGAGCTAGACCTTTATTACTTATGTAT